ACGACAGAAACGCAGTCGGTAAATTAAACAATCTACGAACCTTCCTCGATAAAATTGTATAACTGGGTAAATTTTTCGGCTACGACGTGAAAGCATCCAAATGCCAACTCATTGTCAAGAATGAAAAACTCGGTGAAGCTAAGAAAATCTTCGCAAATACAGGAATCACTATAAAGGCAGGAGCCCGAGTGCTTGGTTCAGTTATAGGAACAGAATCTGAATGTAAAAAGTTCCTCGAAATTCAACAGAATGAGCATATCAAAATTTTGAAAAACTAACAAAAATTGCTAAAACCTCCCCCCAAAACGTTTTTGCCTGCTATACTAAAGGAGTTCAAGAAAAGCTTTCATTTCTTGCCAGGACAACGCCTAACACTATGGAAAACTTAGAGATATGTGAAAATTTTATCAAAGAACAATAATTACCTAACCTAGTCGGTGAAGACATTTTAAACTCCCAGTTCGGTGAGATATCTTCTTTAACCCTTAAAATGGGCAGACATAACATCAAGCTGCCATCTAATCATGAAAGCTACCTAGGGAGACATCACTAGTACCGGAATCTCAAGATCGTGTTACAGCAGTAACACAGCAAGAAACAAATGTACGAAAATCAAAAAATTGAAAACTGATAGAACAAATCAAAAAAAACAAACCTCATTAACTCCTGAAATGAAACAGATAAATACGCAATCGACCTGGTCTCTGAAAAGGGAGCCTCTAATTGGCTCAATGCTTTAACACAGAGCAGATACAACTTCAACCTGAATAAATCAGAAATCAGAGATGGTAATTACTAAAGATACGGATGGGAACCAACCAAAACCCCACTCACATGTGCATGTGGTGCTAACTTTAACTTGACACACGCGCTTCACTGTGCAAAGGGTGGTTACACACACATAAGACACAACGAAACTAGAGACACATTCGCCAACCTCATGAACGAGGTTTGCCATGACGTCGAGATTGAGCCGAAACTTCAGCCGTTGCGAGGCGAAAGCTTTGTCAACAATTCAGCTACAACTGAAGATGAGGCACGACTGGACATTAAAGCAAACGGACTCTGCGGTTCAGGATTCAGCCGCGCTTTTTTTGATGTGAAAATTTTCAACCCCCATGCCAAAACATTGCAAAAACTGCATAAGGACGCATACAAATACCACGAAACGCAGAAGAACTCCAAATATCAGCAAAGAATTTTAAACGTAGAGCAGAGTACCTTCTGCTTGCTAATTTTTGGATGCACCGGTGGCGCTGCTCCAACAGCCACGCGGACGATGCATCGATTAGCCGAAAAACTAAGTGAAAAAAGACAAGAACGGTATCCAGAACCTATAAACTACATAAGAACTAAAATAACCTTCGCGCTCCCGAGGAGCTCTATACTTTGTATAAGGGGGTTCAGATCGCTACGCAAAGTTCAATTTATCGACAACTCCATAAGTGCTGTTGTAGAGGAAGGACAGGTAAGATAAATTAACCATACGACGATGCATTTAATGCTGATTTATGACTTCATTGCTGATATGTATATGCATTTTTATATCGCTGGTATGGCCTTATCCAGCTTGTGAACTTTCCTTAAATAAACGGAAGGGCACCTTTTGTATTTTTGTTTTTTTTGATAAAGTTGATGCTTATGTGAGTTTAGGATGGGAAAAAACAAGAAGATATTATATTTTTTCACTCGTTTCCAGTTTTTGAATGGAAATTTTGATGAAAAATCAGTTGTTAATATTCTAGTAATTAGTTAAATGCGGGCTTCACTATCTCGCCAAGTTTAAGCCTTTTCAACTTATTATTATTGCATGTTTAAGCTATATCGTATATTGCAATGGTTAAGAATTTTTTTTCGATTTTCCAAAATTAATTTTAGTGCGTGATTTTACCGAGTTTAAATTAAGCAGCCCAATACTGAATTAGGGGTTGCGAATTTGGCTTCCATTTTTGAATGCCCAAATCATTTTAGTTAACGAGATAAGACGATTTCAAAAAATGTTCAGAAATTTCAAGTAACAAAAATTTTACAAATTTCTAAGTTCCCAACCCGGTAGTTGGGCGCTGTCAGAGTACTCTAAGATGGCTCAATGCTTTAACACAGAGCAGATACAACTTCAACCTGAATAAATCAGAAATCAGAGATGGTAATTACTAAAGATACGGATGGGAACCAACCAAAACCCCACTCACATGTGCATGTGGTGCTAACTTTAACTTGACACACGCGCTTCACTGTGCAAAGGGTGGTTACACACACATAAGACACAACGAAACTAGAGACACATTCGCCAACCTCATGAACGAGGTTTGCCATGACGTCGAGATTGAGCCGAAACTTCAGCCGTTGCGAGGCGAAAGCTTTGTCAACAATTCAGCTACAACTGAAGATGAGGCACGACTGGACATTAAAGCAAACGGACTCTGCGGTTCAGGATTCAGCCGCGCTTTTTTTGATGTGAAAATTTTCAACCCCCATGCCAAAACATTGCAAAAACTGCATAAGGATGCATACAAATACCACGAAACGCAGAAGAACTCCAAATATCAGCAAAGAATTTTAAACGTAGAGCAGAGTACCTTCTGCTTGCTAATTTTTGGATGCACCGGTGGCGCTGCTCCAACAGCCACGCGGACGATGCATCGATTAGCCGAAAAACTAAGTGAAAAAAGACAAGAACGGTATCCAGAACCTATAAACTACATAAGAACTAAAATAACCTTCGCGCTCCCGAGGAGCTTTATACTTTGTATAAGGGGGTTCAGATCGCTACGCAAAGTTCAATTTATCGACAACTCCATAAGTGCTGTTGTAGAGGAAGGACAGGTAAGATAAATTAACCATACGACGATGCATTTAATGCTGATTTATGACTTCATTGCTGATATGTATATGCATTTTTATATCGCTGGTATGGCCTTATCCAGCTTGTGAACTTTCCTTAAATAAACGGAAGGGCACCTTTTGTATTTTAGTTTTTTTTTTTTTGATAAAGTTGATGCTTATGTGAGTTTAGCATGGGAAAAAACAAGAAGATATTATATTTTTTCACTCGTTTCCAGTTTTTGAATGGAAATTTTGATGAAAAATCAGTTGTTAATATTCTAGTAATTAGTTAAATGCGGGCTTCACTATCTCGCCAAGTTTAAGCCTTTTCAACTTATTATTATTGCATGTTTAAGCTATATCGTATATTGCAATGGTTAAGAATTTTTTTTCGATTTTCCAAAATTAATTTTAGTGCGTGATTTTACCGAGTTTAAATTAAGCAGCCCAATACTGAATTAGGGGTTGCGAATTTGGCTTCCATTTTTGAATGCCCGAATCATTTTCGTTAACGAGATAAGACGATTTCAAAAAATGTTCATAAATTTCAAGTAACAAAAATTTTACAAATTTCTAAGTTCCCAACCCGGTAGTTGGGCGCTGTCAGAGTACTCTAAAATGTTACAAATCTTGCCTCAAAATTTGACTGTTCAAATCTTTGTAGTTTTCGAGATATGACGTTTTTTGTGATTTTTTCAAAAAAAGTTTCAGAAAACTAATATTATTATTTAATTGCAAAATCTGAAATTCCCAAGCCTTTACTTGGGTCCTGTCAGAGTAATCTCAAAGATTGCAAATCTTGCCTCCAAAAATGACTGCTCAATTCTTTGTAGTTTTCGAGATTCGACGTTTGTGCCAGTCTTATTTGCGCCAGTATTTGGAAGTTTGACCTTGAGAGACACGAGAGCACTTAATTTTGGAGTGAAATTTGATTTTTCAAAAATTCGAATGGGGCCTGTCATGCACGATTTTCTCGCGACAACTGAAAACAGAAAAAGTGAAATCAGAACGATTGAGTAACAATCGCGGGAAAGTTGCCAGATAAAAACAGTGGGAAATTGCTATTCGCAATTTCCGTCATAATAAACTAGAGTAGAGCTGTCCTATCTGAAATAGAAGACAGAGTATTCCCGAGAACTGGACAATTATTCGACTGGACAATTATTCGAACTGGACTAGAGTGAACTTTCGATGGAAAGGTGGACAGCTTGAGTGTCCCAATGGTTCACATAAAACTACATTCTAGAGTTCAAACTTACCTTTACCATTCAAACTGATAAACACTGAACTTATCTAGTTATCTTTGTTAATTCTAGAGCTGCTCACCCATTTAATTACCCTTGTGCTTGAGTACATCAGCATGTGAGTCCCTAATTTAAATTTCTAGAGTGTGTTTTGTGATTGTTATGTTGAGGTAAGGCGAGTTTTAGAATGGTCCATCTGAAATGGATCAAAGTTCCACTGTCTAATAAAAAGTAACTTAACGGATTGTTCCGACCCGGTTTTTAACGGCGTTCGCGTATTTTGGGTATTTTGAGACCTAAGTATGGGGACGTTCTCATTTCTAGAGTGGGGGGGGATATTTTGTTAGTAGCCTTTAAGCTGTAACGGGTCGTAGTCTCATGTCACAAGCGAACCGAATTGGCTCCGACTGATTTGAGGTAGAAAAACACAAGAGATAGTGTCCCTGACTCTTGAGCCAATGGTTATAGGGCCTAGTTTTCTTAAGCCTCATGTGTGACTGCAGTAGACGAATGTTACAGTTTTTTTGTGATTTTTTCAGAAAACCTAAATTATAATGATTTTTTAAAAATTTGAAAATCCCAGTTCTGTAGTTGGGTACTGTCAAAAAACTATCAAAAATCGCCAATCTGGCCTCCAAATATGACTGCTCAAATCCTTGTAATTTTCGAGATATGACGTTTTTTGTGATTTTTTCAAAAACTTTCAGAAAACTTAAATTATTATGATTTTTTAATAATCTGAAATTCCCAACCCTGTAGTTAGGTCATGTCAGAGTACTATCAAAGATTGCGAATCTTGCCTCTAAGTATGACTGCTCAATTCTTTGTAGTTGTCGAAATGTGAGATTTTTTGTGATTTTTTCAAAACTTTCAGAAAGTATAAATTAATTATTTTTCAAAGTTTGAATATCCAAACGCTATATCCAAGCCTAATTGTTGTGATAAACTTATTAAATAGCTTGTCCATTTCAAATTCACAAACCGTGTAATTTCAGATAATCGGAGCTAGAGGACTGAATCGATACACTATTAACAAGTCCCACGCCTCTAGCTTCGTGGGTGAAGATTGTTAATGGTGTATATAATTGGAGCCAGTTCTCTCAAAGCCTAAACCGAAGTAGCCCCGAATAAATTGAAGAGAGTATTGTCCCGAATCAGTTTTGCAACGAAAGGACTGAGTCTCAATCCCAAATCTATCCATAACGTCCTGAATCTCGACTTTCTCCTGGAAAAGGGATCACTCAGGAACAAAAAAGAGATAATCCTTTGGCACGACGTGCTGAATAACACGATCACCAAACATCGACTCAACAATAAGAAAGCAGAAACAGTCCTGAACCTAATCAAAACACTCAGAAAGCATAGTTGGAGAATCAAGGCAATTATATATTGCCAAGTGGAAGGCACGAGAAATATCTTCGGAGATCTACGAAAGCTGAATCAGCCGTTATATTCTCGTTATATCAGCCGGGAAAAAGCTAATCTCCAGAAGGAAACAAAACGAGTGGTGTTACCAATCCAACCTCCAGAAAATCCACCCCGCAACTATATTGGAAATAAAGTTCCTTGAAACCATATTAAAACGATTTATCAACCTCGAGTCTCTTGTGAAGAAGTATAGACCCCTATTTAGAAAAAGAAAATCGAAAAAAAGAAGCAATAGAACGAACACGAAAAGAAGCAGGCCTCAAAAGCAAAAGAAGAACAAGAAGAAGAAAAAGAAAAGCAAGAAACAGTAAGGTTAGAAACTCTTTTTTTTTTACATTTTACTCTGGTAGCTACCTGGAACTTATTTGCTCTGGAGCGGCCTAGGTGAAGTCTTTAAAAATGAGTAACCGTACACGAAAAAACACAAATAAATCACAGGTTGATGAGGCCTGGACGTGTGTAACCTACAGAAAAAACTACGGAGATCCCTTGGATCAAGTATTGGGGTGCGATAACTGTGCAAAACATTTTTGTGCAAAATGTTTGAAAATGCCAACGGCAGTTTATGATTACATGTCGAAATCTAAAGGGACATGGTGCTGCGACAATTGTACCGAGGATGTAAAGAACCTAATGAAAAACGCAGTGACTCCAAAAACACATCAGGACATATCCAAAATGAGGACCGATCTGGATAAAACTGTTGATTCCGTGAAAATTCTAATAGAGGATTTTTATTACTTCATGAATGGAACAAAAAACAAAGAACAGCCAACAATGGGATCGAATGCAAATCCCTGGAAGACAGAACCAAATGTCACTAAACCCCTGAAAGACATAATCCTTGAAGCTGGAGCTGAGCAAAAAAGAGAAGAGGAAGAATATTTAAGAAGAAAACGAAATCTAATCATACACAAAGCACCGGAAAGTAAATCAACCGAACCGAAGCTGCGACAGAATGAAGACATGTCATTAATCCGTGAGCTATGCGCAAGCAGAGACATTGAACCAACAATAGTTAAAAATTGCACTAGACTTGGAAAATTATCTGAGGACCACGAAAACGAAACGAGGCCAAGACCATTGAGAATCACACTGGAAACACAGGATGATGCTGAACACATGATGAAAAATCTGACAAAACTGAAGTATGCCAAGGATGAGCTAAAACACCTGAGAAACACTCCAGACAGGAGCATGAAACAGAGGGAAAATGTCCGCTTCCTAGTGCAGCGAGCAAAAAACTTAACAACAGAGGAACCCGGCAACTTCATTCACATTGTCAGAGGGAACAAAATAATCAGAGTAAAGAAAAGAGAGATAGAAATGATGCAAAGATTAACGCCGGAAACAGATAACATTTTGAGCTCTGGTTCGGGAATGTAGACGCCCTAAACCCTGAAAAGTTCATAGAGTTACAAACGCTAATACATCAAAGAAACCTGTTACCAACATGTTGACAGACCAACACGCGTGACCAAACATAATGAACCGTCACTCCTAGACCTCTTATTAACTGATAAAACCTTAGAACCATCTTCCATTGAATACATCTCACCACTGGGGAAAGGTGACCACACACTGTTACAAGCAAAATTCAACCTTGGGACAACAAGGCGCTCAAAAGAAAGGCTAAATTACAATAAAGGAAGCTACGATGAACTCAGGTCTGACTTAAAAATTAATCTAATTTACGAAGACTTGCTAACCTTTGACCAAAATTGGAATAGATTCAAAAGTACTCTTGATTCTGCCACCAAGAAATTTATACCTAAAATGAAAATCCGGATAAAGCAACACAAATTGCCAATGAGCTCCGAAGTAAGAGATGTACTTCGAGATAAACATAAAACTTGGAAAGATTTCAAGAAAGAGAAGTCCCAAAGAAACTATGAAAACTACACATCGGCTCGAAACAAAGTCAGGAATTTGACACGACAATGTGTTCGAAAGCACGAAGAAGATGTATCCAAAAGCATCAAACACCAATCTAAAAAGTTCTGAAACTACGTGAATAAGAAAATTAAAACAACCGAAACAATACCGGCTCTCAAAATTGGACCAGACAAGTGGGCCATGAACGACAAAGATAAAGCTGATACTCTTGTCAACTTTTTCAGTTCTGTATTCACGATCGAAACACCAGGCAGCTGGGAAGTAGTGGATTACCAAGAAAATCAAATATCAGATGACCTCTTTATCTCCAAAGAGACAATCCTAAATGAACTCAATGCGCTAGACACTACGAAATCAATGGGGTCAGATAACGTACACCCTCGGGTATTGCGAGAATCCCGATACGAAATAGCTGAAATGATGAGTGGTTTAATGCAAAGTTCTTGGGAGAAAGGTGAAATACCAAAAGATTGGAAATGCGCAAATATAACAGCAATTCACAAGAAGGACGCAAAAAGTGATCCTAACAATTACAGACCTATTAGCCTGACATCCATTTGTTGTAAAGTTATGGAAAAAATCATCAGACGTCACCTGTTTGAATTTCTAGAAAACAACAATATCATATCAGACAAGCAATTCCGGTTTTTAGCAGGGCGATCAACGACCCTACAGTTACTGAGAGCTTTTGACGACTGGACAGCAGAACTGGACAGAGGTAACAAGGTAGATATCATCTACCTTGACTTCCAAAAAGCCTTTGATAGTGTACCCCACAAAAGACTACTAAACACAATTTCGAGATACGGGATCAGAGGAAAAACTCTCGAATGGATTACCTCATTCTTAACAGAAAGAAAACAAAGAGTGGTGGTCATCAAAAGTTTTTCGGAATGGGCACCCGTCATCAGTGGAGTCCCACAAGGGTCTGTACTGGGACCAATTCTGTTCTTAATATACATAAACTCGATGGGGGATGGAATCACATTCCAAATGCTCCTCTACGCAGATGATGCGAAAATCTACAGATCAGTCACAGCATTAGGTGAAGATGAAGAATTGCAAAATGATCTGAATGTAATTTCGAAATGGGCTGATGGTAGCCTTATGAAGTTCAACATGACAAAATGCCATACGCTCACGTTAACGGGAAGGGTAAAACTAGCGGAACGAAATTACACCTTGGATGGGAATACATACCTTATTAATGTTCAAACCGAAAAAGACTTAGGGGTTATAGTTGACTCGAGACTACTATTCCGTGAGCACTTTGCCAAGAAAACAAAGCTGGCCAACGGCATGGTCGCGATAATACGGAAAAGCTTCATCTATCTTAACGCTGAGACACTAACAACCCTATATAAAGCCCTAGTGAGAACGCACCAGGAATACGCAAATCAGTGTTGGAACCCATACCTGAAAAAGGACAAGATCATGATTGAGAACGTTCAACGGCGGGCGACAAGACTGGTCGCAAACATACAAAAACTTAGTTACCCAGAAAGACTGAAAGCTCTGAAACTGTAACATTCGTCTACTGCAGTCACACATGAGGCTTAAGAAAAATAGGCCCTATAACCACTGGCTCAAGGGTCAGGGACACTATCTCTTGTGTTTTCCCACCTCAAGAACGGTCGGAGCCAGTTCGGTTCGCTTATGACATGAGACTACGACCCGTTACAGCTTAAAGGCTACTACTAAAATATCCCCCCACTCTAGAATTAGAAACGTCCCCATACTTAGGTCTCTAGATACCCAAAATACATGAACGCCGTTAAAAACCGGGTTGGAACAATCCGTTAGGTTACTTTTTATTAGACAGTGTAACTTTGATCCATTTCAGATGGATCAACCTAAAACTCGCCTTACCTCAACATAACAATTATAAAACACACTCTAGAATTTAAATTAAGTACTCACATTGTAGCACGCTCAAGAACCAGGAAGTAAATAAGTCGGTAAACAACTCAAGAATTAATAAAGTAACTAATATGAGTTTAATGTTAGTCAGTTTCAACAACAAGAACAAGTTTTTACTCTAGACTGCAAGTTCTCGTGAACCATTGGGACACTCTAGCTGTCCACCTTCCCACCGAAGGTTCACTCTGGTCCAGTCAAGAATAGTATTCCAATCGTAATAATCCAACTCGAGGGAATGCTCTCGTCTCTGTCACAGATGGGACAGCTCTACTCTCGATTATTATAGTGATGGAAATTGCGAATAGCAATTTCCTACTGTTTTTTCTTGCGACTTTCCCGCGTGTGTGTCTTAATCGTTCTGAAATTGTTCTGATTTCTTTTTCTGATTTTCAGTTATCGCGAGAAAATCGTGCATGACATGTTCCATTCGAAATTTTGAAAAATTAAATTTCACTCCAAAATCAAGTGTTTTTTGCTTCTCTCAAGGTCAAACTTCCAAATATGACCGACTGGCACATACTCCCCGGACTCGAGATCGATGTCCTCATCGCGCGCTGTCTTCTGCCAGTGAGTCCCAGAAAAACCGAGTGTTGCTCAAGATACAGTGCCAGTGGTCATTTACAGAAGTTTGCAGCAGATTTAAGATTATCTACACCCCAAAATTCACGACCATTTAAAATTTTCACACTATTGCTAAACAGCAATCAAAATC